TGCGGGATCGCCTGATCCACCTCAATGCGATGTCTTCTTCACCCCCTTGCCGAATTTGGCATCGAGCCCAAGGCCTGGCAGGAGACAAAACATGCGGTTTGTGTTCTTCCAGCCAGTGGGAGATGGGAATTTTGGGAAAAATCAGCTGAATATCCCCAAATTCAGCCATGGAATGAGCTGGGGGGAAGGGACCGAATCGCTCTGCTGGTCCCACAAGTCCTCGCCCCATTCCCACGGGTTTGAGGAGCTCCCAGGGCAGGATCCCGTGGGTTTTCCCCCAAAACTCACCCAGGAACACCAGCACGGTGCCCACCCACTGCATGGGGCTGATGGGGTTGGCGAAGAGCACCACGGAGGCCAGGATGGTGAAGAACTTGCGGGTGGTGGTGATGATGGAGCAGGTCAGGGGCCCGAAGTACACCACGGTCATGAAGATGAAACTCTGCCCCAGAAGCAGAACAGAGCCCCCGTCACTGGCACTGCCAGGCCGGGCAGCCAGGGACAAATCCCAAAGGATCTCCCTTCAAATCCTGCTTCTTCCTGGCTTGGAGTGGGTTTGTGGCATCCTGGGATGGGCTGGAGGGGCCTTGGAGCTCATCCAGGGACGCCTTCCCCAATCCCACGGTGCTCCAACCTGGCCTGGGACACTGCCAGGGACGGGGCAACCACAGATTCCCTGGGAATTCCCTGGGAATTGCCTCCCAGGGAAGGAAACCCCACCCAAAATCCCATCCCTGACCCCTGACCCCAGCGCAGGGCACCGACCTGGCCCAGGGCGCTGGTGAGGCCGAAGAGGAGGATGTTGGAGATGATGCTGGGATAACGCTCCGTGAAACTCAGGAACTCCCAGAGCTCCCCCGTGAACAGGATCCCTGGAAAACAGCCCGGGAGGAGCAGCCTGGCTGGGGATTCCTGCCCACGGGGGGCAGGTTGGGCTCAGAACCCCCAGAGCAGGGACAGAACCCCACAAACGCCAGCAGGAAACACCAGCAGCAGAAGCAAGCGCCCTGCTGGTTAATTAGTGAAAGGAAGATCATTAACGGGGATCAAATTCCAACAGAACAGTGCCAGCAATTAACCAATTAACCAGGAGCACTGATCCTGGAATGGTTGGGCTGGAAGGGACCTCAAAGCTGCTCCAGCACCAGGGCAGCTCCCAGCCCTGCTGGGCTGCTCTGAGCCCCGAGCTGGAGCAGGAGCTGCCGTGGGAGCTCCAGGAGAGCCCGGGCAGGGGCAGGGCCGGGCCATGAGCAGAGAAAAGCCCAAAAAGGCCCGAGGAAGCCGAGCCCGGAGCGCGGCGGGGCCCTGGCTCCTCACCTGCCCCCAGGAAGAGCGTGGACCAGAGGTTGACGTGCAGCATCATGTGGTTGGAGCCCGTCTGGTAGTGAGCACGCATGTGGTCCTGGGACACGCCCGTCAGCCCGTCCAGCGTCAGAGAGAGCAGCTGTGCATGGACAGACGGACGGACAAACAGATGGGGACAGACAGACACAGACGGGGGACAGATGGGGACAGACAAATTGGGCACAGCCAGCCAGCCAGATGGGGGACAGACAGACACAGACAGGGGACAGATAGGGACAGACAAATTTGGCACAGACAGACAGACAGATGGGGGACAGACAGACACAGACGGGGGACAGATGGGGACAGACAAATTGGGTACAGACAGACAGACAGATGGGGGACAGACAGAAAAGGCACAGACAGATGGGGAAAAGATGAGGACAGACAAACAGGGCACAGATGAGGACAGATTGGGTACAGACAGACAGACAGATGGGGGACAGATGGGGACAGGCAGACAGACGGGACAGACAGAGAGACAGATGGGGACAGACAGAGCACATGGTCAGGCCCGGCTCCCCTCCCCAGGGCAAAAGGCAATTCTCGTTTTACAGCCGTTCCTGAGGGTGTATCACAGGGGTAAACCCCACCTGAGGGTTAATCCCAAGTGTAAATCCCCACCTGAAACCCTGGAATTTATCCCAGGTGTAAATCCCCACCTGAAACCCTGGAATCTATCCCAGGTGAGGAGTAAACCTCACCTGAATCCCAGGATTTCTCCCGGGGTAAACCCCACCCGAGTCCCCCGAGGCCCAGCCCCGTGGGGTCCCTGCACTCACCAGGAGCAGCTCCCCGTAGCCAAAGACGTGCTCGGTGTCCCCTGTCCCTTTTTTGGGCTTGTAGAGGAACAGGGCCACCCCCGCCACGATGAGCAGCACGCACAGGTACTTGGCTGGGGGGTACCTCTTCCGCAGCAGGGTCACCCCCAGCAGCATCACTGGGAAATGAGAGGTCAAAAACTGCCCCAAAACCCACCCAGAGGAGTTAAACCCCAACAATGCCACCCCCAGCAGGATCACTGCGGAGAGACAGCTCAGAAACTGCCCCAAATCCACCCAGAGGAGTTAAACCCCAAAATGTCACCCCCAGCAGGATCACTGCGGAGAGAGAGCTCAGAAACTTCCCCAAAATCCACCCATAGGCGTTAAACCCCAAAAATGCCAGCAGCATCACTGGGAAATGAGAGGTCAAAAACTGCCCCAAATCCACCCAGAGGAGTTAAACCCCACAAAGTCAATCCCAAATCCTGCCTGGGCAGACAGAACATCCCACCCTGATCCCAAAGCCCTCTGTGGGATGGAAGCCAGGAGGGGCTGTGGGGGGCCCAGAGCTCCACAGACCCCCCAAAAACAGGCAAATCTCTCACCTGGGATGGGTTTGCAGGACTTGCCCAGCACCTGGGAAGGGATATGGGTGTTAACAAGCCATACCCCAAAGGGAGAGAGAGAGCCCCAAAAAGATAGAGAATCCCAAAAAGAGAAAGAGCCCTCCTGTGTCCACCTGGGTGGCTTAGATGTCTCCCTGTGGTGGGGTGGCTGTCCCCCCTGTGTCCCCACGTCCCTGTTCGTGGGGTAGCTGTCCCCTCATGTCCCAGCCATGTCCCCATGGGTGGGGTAGCTGTGTCCCCATGTCCCCGTGCCCACCTGGGTGGGGTACCTGTGTCCCCCCTGTCCCCATGTCCCTGTGGGTGGGGTTTCTGTCCCCCTGTCCCCATGTCCCCCTGGGTGGGGTACCTGTGTCCCCTCCCGTCCCCCTATCCCCCATGCCCACCTGGATGGGGTCCCCGTCCTCCCGTGCCCACCCGGGTGGGGTCCCCGTCCCCCCGTGCCCACCCGGGTGGGGTCCCCGTCCCCCCGTGCCCACCCGGGTGGGGTCCCCGTCCCCCCGTGCCCACCTGGGTGGGGTAGCTGACGAACTGCAGCGCGGAGTTGCTGGACACCATGGCGCCCAGGTAGGACAGCGAGCAGGCCCCGTAGAGCCAGCCCCGCGTGCGGTCCGGCCGCGCCGCGTCCACCAGGCGGATCACTGCGGGGACAGCGGGGGACGGCTCGGAGCGGCCCGGGGACGGCCCGGAACTCCCGGGGCTCCGGGAATCCCGCACTTACGGAGCTTGGCGAAGGCGGCGTTGATCACGCACTGGATGAACACGAGCGTCAGCGCGAACCTGAACTTCTCCTGCTTCGCGCCCTCCCCGTAGCGGCCCCGGGTGCTGCGGGACGGATAACGGGGACACCGGTGACACCGGGACACGAGAGAGACAGGCACCGGGGACACCGGGCACAGAGCGGAACAGGCACCGGTGACATGGTGGGACCGGCACCGGTGACACCGGGACACGAGAGAGACCGGCACCGGTGGCACCCGGGACACCGGTGACAGAGCGGGACCGGCACCGGGGACACCGGCCACAGAATCGAGGGCACGGGAAGGAGCGGCGCGCCCCGCCCGGCTCCGGCTGCCCGGTTCTGCCCCGGTCCCTCCTCCCCAGAGCCCCCAGCCCCGGGTGAGCCCCGCGCCCCCCGCCGGTGTCCCCGCTCCCCGCGCCGTGGCTCACATGCTCTCCTGCAGGATGCCGTAGTAGAAGTAGCAGGCGAACACGCCGAGGAAGCAGACGGGCAGGCGGAGGCGCTCGGGCAGCCCCGGGGCCGCGCTCGCTCCCATGGCGGCGGCGGCGCCGCTCAGCGCGGGCGGCACCTCCAGCGCCACATCCCGCGGCGCCCCGGGCGGCCTCATCGGCCCCGCCGCGCCCGCCCCGCCCCGCGCCGCCCGCCGCGCTGCCCGGCCCGCCGCGGGGGGAAAGGCGGGCGAGGCGCGCTCGGGATGTCGCGGGGCGGGGCGGGAGCTGCACACGGAGATCGCCGAACCCTCCCCGGGGCTGCGCCCGCCGCGGTTCGGCCGCGATGGTACCGGGAATGTGCGGGGTAGAACAGGCAGTGCTCGGGGCACCCCAGACTTAGGGGGGCTTCCCGATGCACGGCGCGCGCGGGAGCGACACCCGATGTGGAGCGCGGCGATTGGCTAGGCCGAGGGGGCGGGATAGAGAGACGGATTCTGATTGGTGGCTGCGGCAGTGGGGCTCCGCCTACTCTGTGCGACCCCCGAGCGGGGCTTTCCGGGGTCCTTCCGCCGGTCCGGGCCCGCTGGAGCCCGGCGGGGCGGGGGTGACGGGGCCCGGCCGGGACCGGCTCCTCCCCAAGGCCCCGTTCAGCCGCTGCCGCTGCTCCAAGCCGCGCCTCCAGGACGTTCCCGGGGAGCAGCGAGTCAGGAAAGCACTGTGGCCGGGAAGGGCCGAACCCCCGCCCTGGCGCTTTGTCCTTCACAGTTCCTCTCATCCCTCCGGGAATTCCAACACGGTTCGCAATGCCCGGGCTACACATCCCACCTCCAGGGCACTGCCCCCGCAGGCTGGGCGGAGGAGCTGCCGGTGCTGCAGCTCCCGAGGCTTCCTCCGCCTCAGCTCGGCGCTGCCCGCTCTCAACATGGCGGCCTCGGTAACGAAGGATGCGCGCCCCGCAGGCCTCGTGCCCTTATCAAAGATGGTGACCACCACACCCGCCCAGCCCGCTGCCCCAACCAAAGATGGCGACGCGAGGCTTCACTGCCGGCGGCGCCTGCCCGGCTCCAAGATGGCACGCGGTCACGTGACGGGGGTGTGGGCCGCGTCCCGGCGGAAGCGTGAGGGACCGAGCAGGGAACGGCGGCGGGAGCGGGGCTGGCGCCGCAGCAGCAGACGTGCCGCAGGGCGGGAGACACGGCTGCCACCACGGAGTCCGCCAACAGCAACACCGCGGCGGCCACCGCCGCTTCGCGGGCCGCGGGCGCTGGGGACCAGGCAACCTCGCTGCCCCCGCCCAGGATGCAGCGCAGGAAGGTGAGCGCGGCCGGGAAACGGGGGAGGCGGCCGGCGGGGAGACCGACGAGCTCGGGCCGCTGCTTTCGACCCTTCCCCAGCCCCTCCGCTCCCTCTCCCGGCTCTAAAACTGGGGGGAAAATAGCGGCCTTGAGCCCCCAGCGCCCGCCTCCCGAGCTCTCCGATTGGCTGCGGCACGAGCAGGCCACGCGCTGATTGGCCGCGCTGCCTGTCACTCATCACCCCCAACGGCTACCGTCCCCCCTCCCCCGCGCGGCCAGCGGGGCCCGCCCCTCGCCGTTTCCGATTGGGCACGCGCTCGGAGAACTGGCCGTCTATTGGACAGGTCCCCGCACCGGGCTGGGCGCTGATTGGCTATTGCTGCTGTCCATCCCCGCCCAACGGTCACCTCCCCGCGCGAGCCTTGTTCCTCCCTTCCCCCATCGCGCCGCGGCCTGCCCCCACGGTTGGCGTTGCCGTGGGAGCAAGCCTCTCGCTGATTGGCCGCCGTTCGCTGTCAATCGCGTGCGGCGGCGGCCCGCCTTTTTGCTCCTCGAGCTGCCATTGGTAGGCCTCCCTTTCGGCCCCGCCCACGCGCGCTGTGATTGGCTGGGGCCGGCGCGGCTCCGCTGGGGGCAAAACAAAGCGGCGCGGGGGCCGCGCTCCCGCCACCGGCGCGAGGCGCCCCCCCCTCCCCTCATGGCGGCCGCGCCCCTCCCCGCTCCCCTCACGGCCGCCGCCATCGCCGCCCCCTCACCCTGCCGGCACCCCCGGCCTCCCCTCACCGCCGAGCCGCTCAACCGCGCCGGGGAATAAGGCACGAGCCTGGAAAAGGGGGAACAAAATTAAAGATTTTAGCTTGGGGCGGTTTAATAATGAGAAATAAGTGAAACACTGTTGTGGTGTTAAATAACCGTGATAACAGAAAGGGAAGGGAATAAAAATTGCGATTGCTGACCGGTGCCAGTCACCCTTCCGATATCCAGATTGCTCCCCTCGCTTTGGGATAATTCTGATAATTCCTCCAGTTTATATCCTGGGAATGACAGCCTGAGGTGGGAATTTGGCCATGAGGGATCACCTGTCCCGCTTTGTTTTTGGAAATTCCTCACTGCCAGAGCAGGAGACACAAAAAGAATCCCTGACTCGGCATAAACCTCCTGGGTCACCCTTGCAGCTGCAGAGGCTGTGAGGAGGTGCAGAACACGAAATCCCCGCTCAGTGTTGTGTTTTTAGCAGCAGCAGGGCAGCGTTTCAGGGCAGTGTGTGCCGTTGCAGAGGAACGCGGGCAGCAGCTCGGATGGCACCGAGGACTCGGATTTCTCCACGGACCCCGAGCACACGGACAGCTCCGAGAGCGACGGCACCTCCCGCAGATCCGCCCGCGTCACCCGCTCCTCGGCACGGCTCAGCCAGAGCTCCCAGGGTGAGGGAGGGCTCCTGCTCAAACCGGGAGAGGCTCTTCCTCGAACTGGGAAAACTCTTCCTCAAACTGGGAAAACTCTTCCTCAAACTGGGGAAAGGCTCTTCCTCAAACTGGGGCAAAGCTCGTCCTTAAACTAGTGCAAGACCTTTGTCAAACTGGGGCAAGCCTTTCCTCAAACCGGGAAAGGCTCTTCCTCAAACCGGGAAAGGCTCTTCCTCAAACTGGGGAAAGGCTTTCCTTAAACCAGGGCAAAGCTCTTCTTTAAACCGGGGGAAGGCTCTTCCTCAAACTGGGGAAAGGCTCTTCCTCAAACCAGGAAAGGCTTTTCCTTAAACTGTGGAAAGCCTTTTCTCAAAGTGGGGCAAGGCTCTTCCTTAAATTGGGGAAAGCTTTTCCTTAAACTGGGGCTAGGTTCCTCCTCAAACGAGGGAAAAGCCTTTCCTTAAACTGGGCTAAGCTCCTCTTCAAACCCAGGAAAGGCTCCTCCTCAAACCAGGGAAAAACCTTTCCTTAAACCAGGGAAAATCTCCTTCTCAAATGGGGGATAAGTTCCTCCAGCCAGGAAGAGACTCCTCCTTAAACTAGGCATTCCTCCTTAAACTAGGGAAAAGCCTTTCCACAAACCAGGGCAAGGCTCCTCCTCAGACTGGGGAAAAGCTCCTCCTTAAATTGGGGAAAAGATCCTCAAACTGGGGAAAATTTCCTCCTGTAACTGGAGCAAGGCTCTTCCAGGCCCACACACAAATCCCAGGTGCAGCTCCACACCACAGGCAGTCCTGCTATTCCCAATATCTAAACCCTGATGGTTCTTATCGAAACAAAGAGATCTTTGCTTCTCCAAATTGAAGCTGGGTGCTAATTGCAGGTCAATTAAGTTGTTAAACCTGGAGCAAGCTGCTGTCACTCCAGTTTCCTCCGAGAGTCCTGACATTTTATCAGGCAAGGCCAGAGCATGGTGACATGGGCAGGACGGAGCCACAGGGTGTCAATCAGTGGGGGACATGGGGGTTCTTATGGGTGCTGTGGTGTGACTGTGGTATCCCCTCAGTGTTGTGGTGTCTGTGTGGTTCTTGTGGTGTCCCCATGGTGTGACTGGTGTCCCCACGGTGTCCCCGCGGTGTCCCCTGGTGTAACGGCCCCGTTTCCCCGGGAGCAGACTCCAGCCCGGTGCGGAACCCGCCGGCGTTCGGGCCGGACGAGCCAGTGTACTCCACGCGGAGGGTGACCCGCAGCCAGCAGCAGCCAGCTCCTGTCACCCCCAAGAAGTACCCGCTGCGACAGACCCGCTCCTCCGGCTCCGAGACCGAGCAGGCCGTGGACTTCTCGGACAGAGGTACCCCCGGGGGCAGGGAATGCTGCATTGGTACCCACAGGGGAAGGGAACACTGCATTGATACCCAGAGGGGCAGGGAACCCTGCATTGGTGCCCAGAGGGGCAGGGAACACTGCATTGGTACCCAGAGGGGCAGGGAACCCTGCATTGGTACCCAGAGGGGCAGGGAACCCTGCA